TAAGCATATTTATTTTTTCCTTCCCTGGTTCTCCTCCACTCCTTTCTTGTGATCAGAAGTAGCCGTATAAACTAGAAGCTGGTCTTGAAAAGGTTTTGAACTGAGTGTGCCCTACAGATGAATAAACACATTACCTTCCGAACCCTGGGATCTCTCTTCCAAAGGAAACAGGAAAAGGGGGAGCTCAGAGTCCCTAGCAAAATACCAGCGTGCAGAAAAAAAGGCCTGTTTCAATTTTTTTAACTTTCCCATAAGAAGATATTTTTATTATTATTTTATTTTAAGTTTTTTTCTTCAGGGGGAGGAGAGAGGAAGGGTGTGAGGAGGGGGGGGGGGGGGGGGGGGGGGGGGGAGGGGGTGCTGCCCAAAAAAGAAAGGGGGGGGAAGGTGGGTGCTGGGAGAGGGGAGGAAAAATACAGTGAATGCTCCTGTAACCTTTGCTCTGTTGATACTAGACAAGACTGCACTGTTAATGAGTGATTGTTAACAGATGGCTGTTGAGCAACTTAGTCAGAAGCAGAAGATGTTATTTGGTTGTAGTGCTGGGAGGGTTAGGGTGCAGAGGTGAGGTAAGGGGATATTTAGTCTTTTCATGAGGACTGAACTGTCCGAGATTTATGATTTTCCTTGAGGCTTTTGGAAGTGGAGTCTTGGGGGAAGGATTGTTTTCGATGTGCTGATAGTAGAAAGGCCATTTGGTGCTGAAGGCTCTAACAGTTATTTTTTCAGTTGAGGGGTGTCCCTGTAGCCCTTGGCCTTTGAGAACTGAAAGATGGAAATGTATGTCTTTAATCTGCCAAACCTCATGTCCCAAACTGAGAAGGAGTAGGCTCTTCCCACTGCTTGGAGCTGTCTGAGGACTGGTTGAGAAAGCTTTAGATGTGGATCCGCACTGTGTCTATGAGAGAAATCATTACTGTACATTCCCTGTGGTGCACCAATTTGTTTGTAAGTCTGTGTGTGAGGGGCCAGGAATCTTTCTGAATGTGTGTGTCCATCCATGCACGTTTCTTGCTCTTTCCTGGTGTGGTATATACCTTGTTCATCAAACCCAGCATACCAATGTATGCCATTTCCTTACTGGTTTTTATTTACTATGAATTTGAAGGTAGCCTGAACATATCCCATTCACTTTCTGTAGCATTGCAGATTATCTATCAAGATAATTGCACCTGCTCAGTGTTTCTCAAACTGTGCAGTACTTAGATTTTATACTTATTTCTCTGCTGGACCTTATTAGAGATAAGGGTCAGGGTATGAGGTATGAATGAGATCAACAAGGATTGCTTCTCAAGATTGTTCTTATTTTCAACCAATGATGCATGGCTGGAGTGAAGGTAAGAACCAAACACACGGCACATTTTGCTGATAGGAATTTACAGAAGAGTTTCGGTCTTTGGTCAGTAAAGGGGAATCCCACTTGCACACACCGCTGACAAATCTTGAGCTTTAGTAGCAAGTCTTAACATGACCTTCCACAATCACGTACGAGATGATTTAATGTCTTTCTTGTACACTAGCTTTCTGACATACATAGGTGAGTGTGTGTATATACATATAGAGAGATATATTTATACAATTTAAAGACTAATTTCTCCATTCTGTCATCATTATTTATTCATATTTCTTTTTTGGGGGCACATAGGACTATATGACAAATGTTCTTACACCTCCCGTGACCGAGGATGGGTCCTGGGGATTAACACCGTCAGTGACCAGGGGAATAGAGACCCCCGCTATTTCTTCTCTCTGAAGACGGATCGTGCTCGCAAAGTAACCACCATTGCAGCACATCGCAGCTACCTCCCCAACCAGTGGGTGCATCTGGCTGCCACGTATGATGGGCACTTGATGAAACTCTATGTGAATGGTGCCCAGGTGGCCACAAGTGGAGAGCAAGTGGGCAGCATCTTCAGTCTTCTGACCTTGAAGTGCAAGGTGCTCATGGTTGGTGGAAATGCCCTGAACCAGAACTATCGGGGTTATGTGGAGCACTTCAGCCTCTGGAGGACAGCCCGGTCTCAGAAGGAGATCTTGTTGGACATGGGCCAGGCAATTCACAGACAAGACACGCCTCTACCTCAGCTAGTTCTTCAAGACAGTTTACTGAATGTGAAAAACACCTGGTCTCCCATGAAGGATGGCAGCAGTCCTCAGAGCAAGTTCAGCTATCATCATGGCTATTTGCTGGATACCAGCCTAGACCCTCCTCTCTGTGGACAGACAGTCTGTGACAACACGGATGTAATCGCCAGCTACAACAAGCTCCCCAGCTTCCGCCGCAACAAAATTGTTCGCTACCGTGTGGTAAATCTCTACGATGACAAGCACCAGAACCCCACCGTCAGCCGGCAGCAAATTGAGTTCCAGCATCAGCATTTAAACGAGGCTTTCAGCCGCTACAACATCACCTGGGAGCTGGAGGTGCTGGAGGTGAAGAACTCTTCTCTTCGCCACCGACTCATTCTGGCCAACTGTGATATCAGCAAGATCGGGGACGAGAACTGTGATCCTGAGTGCAACCACACCTTGACTGGGTACGATGGTGGAGACTGCCGACACGTACGCCACACGCTCTTCAACAAGAAGAAGCAGAATGGTGTGTGTGACATGGATTGTAATTATGAGAGATACAACTTTGATGGTGGGGAATGCTGTAACCCAGAGATAACAGAAGTCACCAAGACGTGCTTTGACCCATATTCTCCTTACAGGTAGGCAATTTCTTAAACAAACAAGCTTGTTATGATCATATCAATGAATATTTTTTGACTTATTGATCAGCCTGATGGCTGGTGAACTTGTGTTATTGGCATTATAGACTTTGGGGTTTTTAATTAATTTATTCTTAGCATTTAACTCCAAATACAATCTCAGTAATGGTCTCATCAGCATCTTAACATTGAATGGGTATTTGCCACACAGGCTGAAGAAAGCTAGTGCTACAGACTGAAGCAGCTGACTTTGAGAGACACATTAGTTGTTGGTTATGAGGAGTATATTGTAGCACTGCACAGTTTATTTTAACCAGAGGCTCTTAGGAGTGGGGATTAGATGTCATAGAAAGCTCACATGTATTAGGAGAGGGAAGAGCCCCTCAGGCATGGAACAGAACATAGTCTTAGGTAGACCTTAATTCTGTAAGACGTCTTTGAAGGTAGGTAGGTTATTCTATATTCTTAATGCTATGAGAAGAGCTTTCTGTAAGCGCTGCTGTAGAGGGGCAGCTGACTCTGTGGGTTATGAGGAGGGAGGTGGATACCAGGTTCCTGGCAGTGCAGTTACACACATTGGGAAGGTAATTGCAATCTTCTGCACCTCTTCTTATATATATGAAAATGAGGGTAATGCCACTTCACGGCAAACGGCAGGGCAACTTTCTGTGGGTGGATGTGAGTTTATAAAATCCTGAGATCCTTGGCTAAAGGCTTCCTTGTGTTGTAGTTTGAAAAGGGACATCCCTGAGTAACTTGCATCAGTTGAGTGTGGCTACTTAAAATTACTCCAACTTGCTTTTGGTCATCTCCAGATAAGAGTTAGTATGTTCAAGTAAAAAAGTGTTCCCTGTGAATGAGTTAGAAACATAAACACACAGAAGGGAAAGGTTAAAGCTGAAATTTTGTTGTCTGTATCCCATGTTACAGTTTTTTAGGGCAATTCATGGAGTCATGGGGGAAAACCTCTAGATGGTCAGAACACCCTGTGATGTCAAACTAAAGTTCAGCTTAGAGAAGGAAAGTATGAGCTGTCCTGGAGTCCCTTCTATTATTGAAATTCAGGCTATATTTGTAACATCCTTAGTAGAGAGAAGTTTTTTAAATGACATTATCAGCTCTACTGGAGCTTTAAATACACATAATTAAGCTGCAAAGAAATGTTTCCTTTCCAGGTTTTTTTTTGTTTGGTTGTTTTTTTTTAACTCTAGTGAGGTTGTTTTTTTAAAAAATCTTTATAGCTCAGCTTGACTTCAGTCAGGTACCAGCAAACAAAACTCAAATGAGGAAATACTTTAAATACTAATGATTGAAAATATCTAAAAGGAAAAAAAATCCTATCTTTTAATACTGTTCAACTGGAGAGGAACACAACTAAGCAAATATCATCAAAGACATAATGCAAATTGGGTTGTTTTAACACCATAGTTCTGAGAACTCAAGGTGTTAGTTATAACAGCTATGACAATTTTTAGAAAAATACATTATTTTTAATCTGATAGTACCCTTTTATCACTTTTTTTCTGTGACTAGCATAATACCCATACAAAACAAAACAAGAAAATCCTTGTAAATTTTAGTTGACAGATTTAAGACTGTGCTTTTATGCTATTCTGACAGAGAGAGATGTTTCCATTTCAAATGAAATCTTTTTGCTGCAGATTGCACTTACACAGCCCAAGCAAGGAATTTATTTCCCAAATTGAAATTACCTTAACACGACGTAGTTGCTTTCCATACGCAGTTGTATGTTCCCTTTGGAGACAACCACCTTGCTGAACTTGTCTGGAGGGTTTGCATTTCATGGCATGGAGCTCACACACCTTCTCCATGTTCATTTTGGCTTGAGAAGCACCTTCTCTTGACTGACACACATAAGTCAGTGAGGGAGGCCTGAAGGTCCTCTTCCACAGTGTAGAGCCTGAAAAAATCTATAGATCCTCCAAAATTATATATTTTTTTTTTACAATAATTAGGTTTAGTTTAATTTTCTTTGTGTCGACATTGTAATGCAGCATTGATCATTGGCAGTGAAACCAAGAAGGGCAGTAGAAGATATTCCATCTCTCTGGAGCCTGGATTTGGTGGCTGATGTGCTTAGGCTGAGCTCATACCCACCACTGTGATGGGTGTTTGCACTTAGAATGGCAAAATACAGCAGTTAGGCCTGTGGACTTGATCTTTGTGAGGCTGAACAGTGCTTTGAGTATTTAGTACTGAACACAGGTTTAGGGCAGTGGCTTTGGCAGCAAAGCCTTCATTGACTAAAAGGGCAAAGATTCAAACCCTGTGTTTGGCTTTGGTATTGCCCTCAGCATCATCCCCTGAGAGAGATTTCCATGCCAATTAGTGACTCAGTCAAAATCTGTGACTCAGTTGGCACCATCTGGGCCCATTTTGCATCACCAGCCCCTCTTGTCATCACTTTCATTGGCAAAGAGTCCTCAGTCCCCTCTAGTGAAGGCCTTGTACCACATCAATGAAGACATCTCCACAGCCACTATGAGTTGACATCTATTTCCAGGTACTTCCTCTGCCAAAGTTCGGTCTACCAATAGCAGAAGAAAGGGAAAAGAGCCCTCAGTCTGGTGAGGCATCAGATAAAAAGGGGGAAAAGCATGAAATGGTACCAGTAAAAAGTTTCCTGAGCTTTGTGCTGTAAGACTCTTCACAGCCTTCCTTGGGTACTAGGGAGGCCCTCGGATATTACTGGGTCTTTTTCCCCCTACATCCTTAGTGTCAACAGTTGTAGCCAGCTGTTCATCATGCCAGAGTTTATTCCTGAAATACTTTTATCCTTTGGAGCCAACCAAAAATCATTAATGATTGATTAATGATGTTATAAACATGAACCCTCTTCAGTGTCTCTTCATACGCAAATGAAGAGTCACTTTCCAGTCACTTTCTTTCTTCTGACTCTCTCAGTCCCAGTCCATGAAGTCTCCCTCCTGGGACAAAGTCGCTATGAGTCTTGTTACAAAAAACTCCGTGGATACTTCTTGACTAAGTGCAACCATAGATGTGATATCCCCAGAACAATTTCAAGACACCTACAAGCTGCATTATGTTTCTTGTGCTTCTTTTGGTACCTGGGACAAAAGTGCTCAGGTACTTTGATAGTGTCGTTCAGTCACTGTTGTAGTGCAACTATGGTGACTTTAAAGCTCATCCCAGCAGCAAAGCTGGTTTGCTTTTTTTGTTTTGTTGGGGTTTTTGTTTGTTTGGTTTCTCTTTTGTTTTCAACCTCTCTTCCTGGCAGCTCTCCAAAAATATTTTCCTCTACAAAGCTGAGATTCTGTGCCATAATCAGGTAGTGGGGATGTTTGTGCATAGAGTTGAAGTACAGTGGCTTACCTGTAAAGAAGTTTACCAGAGGAACAATGCTGATGGATGAGGACTCTGGTCCCAGAGCTGCTCAGCAGAAAAGCTGTAAACTTTGTGGTACCAGCTAGATCCTCTTTCCTCTTTTTTAATAGTCTACGGGGAAAAAACAAAAAGACTGGTTATCATTAGCCACACAACAGGCTTTATCCAAGAATATCTGCCTCACTTCTTTTTATTAATTTCAAGAGAGTGGGACAAAATGTATTTAATCCCAGCCCGTGATTTGCAAATAATGTTCAGCTTTTCTTTATTTTTGCAGTTCTGGGAAATTAGAACATGCTAAGTTCATACAGTCTGGCCCAATACAAAAGGAAGGAAGGATAAACACACTTACCAGAAAGACACATTCCTTGTGTTGTTTGGGATATTGCTGGTTACAAAATAGGGAAGACTTTTTGCTCATGACACCTACCATGGCTCCTTTTCAAAACACTTGAAACAAACAGCGAGGGAATCATGCTCTGTAAGTGCCATTTGATGTGGCAAATTCTTGCACCATCCTCTGGTTAACTGAGCCATTCCTTTTATGTAATATTGGGTTTGCACATCAGGCTTCACCACAGGATCGCATGGACAGATAAGAAAGCATTCCCCTTGATGCCTTCTTAGGAAAATGCTGATCAAGTTCCTGAAACAGTAGAAGCTACTGGAGTCTCTTCAAACTCTGTTGATTCGTACAGTCTACTGAATACTTGCTGGAAATCCCCTCAGAATAACTCACCCTGGGGACAGGCTTTCTCAACATCCACATGTGTACCCTAAGGGCTCCCACAAGCCTTCTGCTCTTCCCAAACAAGGGGCAGGGGTGAAGCTGTACGTGCTCCAGAGTCTGTTTGCAGCACCTGCCTGCAGACTGAGGGTGACACCAAACCAAAGAGCTGGAGATCAGTGTCCTGCTGATCCCAATCTTTTCTGTGGCTTTTTCCCCAAGACTTATATTGTACAGTTCAGCAAAGCTTAGCATTGTGTCCCATCAGCTTGATCAAGATTAAGGGCATTGGCACATTCCAGTCATAAGTAAATTAAACTTTGAATACACATTTGAACAATTTGTAGAAATTTCCATAGTAGTTTTGAGCAGCACTGGGTATGGCAGAGCCTTTATGAAGAGCACACTGTGCTGTGCCATGTGGATGGCAGCAGTAGCATTAAAAGTGGGAGGTGGCTGATCTGCAGCCTTGGTCAGCCTCATACAGGTAACTGGACTTTGTAGATCCTCCATGAAGTTTCTGATCAGAGCAGTCTCTTAACACTTTTTCCTTCTCTTCCACTGGAAATCGTTTCACGGGGCTTCTTTGCAAAATATGGTCAAATTACTCTGGAGGAGTACTCCATACTTAATGCCCTTTTCTAGGAGCTAGAAGAGGTGTAAGAAATACTCCTTGATTCCCAATAAAGGATTAATTTCCACCTGATCCTGAACACTAAAAAGAACAGAAGAAATTTATCAGTGCTCTTCAATTCAGGAAGCCTGAGGACTTAATCCCTTGCCTTGAAGAGACCATTGTCCAGCTGTTGACATCAGGGATTCCTGCATTCACACAGGTATCAGACAGACATATAGCAAATACCTGAATTTTTGTCTAGAGATTTGGCATTAAATTGCAGTTCTTTGATTACGAGCTCCAGGACTGTTTAGAAGGTGGAGAGATAACACTGTGAAGGACAGAGCTGCTGTATCTTGGTAGTTGTCACCCAAAAGCCAAGTCCCAACAGGAAATCCTCTGTTCTCTGTGTTTATTCTGTCCTCTGTTCCAGATGTCAGGGGTGTTAATCAGCTGGGAGGAGTTGCATCTGTTCCCATGCTAGCAACTGACATTTATAAGTCTAGTATTGAATTCTGGTATAGACAGGACTTCAGTACTAAAGAAACAATTTCTACGTATACATTTGCACACCCTAGAAACAGTAGGAGCTTGCTCGATTTAGTTTGACCCACAGTCATCTTTTCCAACATTTTTTTTTTTTTTTCAAGGAACATTTTATCCTCAAGACTCATAGGACTCATGATTTCTTTCATGGACGTTATCCATTATGTAAAAAGATCAGTGTCTGGTCAGACTGCAGGATGCTTGGAACGAAGACAGACTATAAAATCTATGGAGTAAACTATCAGAGATCATTAAGAATCCTTGTGGGAGACAATAGATTAAAGTATTATTAGACTCTCCAGTTCTAATGCAGACCCATTTGGCTCTGGGTCTGGAACCCCACATAGAAGATTTGCAAGTGCAGAGTCTGCAGATTTGGCAGGGACTGAATGTGCCCCTTGCTGCTCTGCAGAACCATGTCCTCCAGGCCTGCAGGCACAGATGCTCTCCAGCCAGCTCTTACCAACCTCTGTTTAAGCAAACAAGGTGGAGCTCATCCACTCCCATGTTCTGAAAACGAGCAGTGTATATAAGCTGTTTTATTCTCTTTGCTGATCCATTCAAATGATACTGTGTCTTACACACAGACCCATGGTTTGATCGTGTCCAACATGCCTCTTTCAAGTGCTTTGGGAGTTTGCATTAATCACCCTGATTTTCTCCCATACCCAATTGTGTACAGTCTCTCTGCAGTGGTGGGGGTGAGGGGGCCCCTCAAGTTTTTAATTAGCGGCAGCTGAAACCATCTGTAAATTCAGGAGGTTGCACCTTTCAGACAAAGATGCAAAGCACAGGCAATTTCTGTGGCAAGCTTAACCAGGTGCAATAGTGACATTTGCAATTCCCATTCTATCTTTCAGACTCCTTTTTCTGATAGGAATTTAAGTCCAATTCTTGTAAGCAATAGGTGACCTTGGAGAAATGCAGAGCAGCCACCTCCACCAGGCTCCATTTACAGCATCCATGAACACGATGCATTTGACTTTGTCTCTCACGTGGATTGCTGGACTTGGGCAAACACTACTTCAGTTGTTTTGTTGTGGGTTTTTTTTTCCCCTTAACGATCCCTTGACTGTTGCTGCCAGTGGAAATGTACAGAAATCTTTTGGAAGAGATGATGCTGAGCTGTGCTATGTCCTGGGGGAGTTTCCTCTGTGCAGCCACGCTTCAAACCCTCGGCGTTACTGGTGCCTTCACATAGTGGGTTCGCAGGGTTCAGGAGTAGGGGTGAGAAGGATAAGGTGAATTTTCTTTATATAGTCTCAACTGAAAATGTCAATGTGAGCAGAGGCATGAACGCTGGCCTAGCAGCTCTGCCTTTGCCCAGTATCTGTGAACGTAATGCCAGGGGAGAAAGCCCACCCAAAAGTGTGATTACACAGAAAATAGCTGTTTCTATAAGTAATCTGTATTTTGGGGTAGAAAAATACCTTTATGCTACAGAGGACTTGCCTGCAGCATCAGCAGATGTGATGGAAAGACTGGGAAAAGCCTGGAAGTTCTGTGCAGAAGAAAGAGATAATAGTGTGCCAGTGCTGTGATTGTGATGATGGTCTTGACGCCACTGGGAGAGCTGAAGCTTAGAAGTAAGGCAGGTTTCAGCAGTAGGAGGGTGTCTCTCCTCTGCCCAGTTTGGGGCTAGGGGACACCTAAGAAGTGAATGTCTTGGTTTACCTTCTCTTAACTGCAGTGAGAAGAATTAATTGTTCCTCAAACACCCCAGAATTAGGACAATGTGGAGCTGTCCTATCACTTCTGCACCCGTCCTGAGGTGCACTAAGATATGCTTGTGCAGAGTGACTGGCGAGGCCAATTTCAAAGTACGTGTGATGTCTTCTCCATTAGCTATATGTCAAGACATCCATTGAAATAATCATATAATCCTAAGAATTTTTCTGTGTACGTATTTGAGAAGGATAGAGAACGTGGGTGATCAGAGGGGTCTACAGCAAGTTATTGGTAATCATTTCCTTAGAGCTATCAGGAAATGCAGTGATGCAGAGCCTCACAACAGATCTTTTAGGATTACTGAGACACTCTGGAACCGCTTCAGTATCTGTGACACGTGTTCATAAAAACTACATTGTAAAAAGACGTGATGCTGATCGCTATAGTCATTTTTCACCTGTTAGGACCGGATTCATTGAGAAGTAGGATGGGTATATCCCCACTCCACAACCTGGTGGAGTGTTTAGACCAGGAATACAAATCACTACTGTCAAAAGCAATTCTGTGTTTGCTTGATTGCAACCCTGGCTGAAGCCAAGTTACAGGACCCACATACAGTGGAGGAAGATTGGGAGCATTTGCTCTGCTGGGGTCAATGAAATCCTGTCCTTCAATTTTGTTCTGAGTAGATTAGCAATTTTGGAGTTTCTCAGGGTAACTCAACTGAAACTACCTAGTTTGCACATAATTTCAGCACTCCAAATTAACATAAATTTGCAAGAAATTGTTTTCAGGTTCATTAATAATGGATGGATGGCTACACCATTGGAGTGCTTGTTCTCAGCTTCCAAAAGGATAAGGGTGAGTTGCACTGAGGAAACTTCTTGAAGACTTAAATGTTTGGGGTATGAAACTCTAATAAAACTCTAAAAAGCCAGGAAATTTGGAGTGAAGGCTGAAACTCCATACCTAGTGCACCCTACTGGGTCTTTGTATTTCAGAACACGTTATGTTTGTTCACTGAAATATCTCCAGTATGGAGCTCTTTAGGGTGGAGTTTCACCTTTAACTCTAAATTTCCTGGCATGTGTGAGTTTGAAGTACTCTCTTAACTTTTCCCCAGTGCTGTTTTTCATTTTTAATTTCCTTTTTCTTTTAAAGGAGGGACCCTGCTAGAGGGACCTCTGCTAAAAAGGGACCCCACTGAAACCAAGATTAGAGTTTTTTAGCCTAATTTGGTCTTTCTGAAATTCTTCAGGAGAAGAATTTTTTTTCTACAGTTGTTTTAATGACTCTTGTAGCCAATCCACCCCGGTGAAAAAGATGGATAAAATCTGCACCCTGCAGACCAATTATTTTGGAAGGTACCCAGATATTTGAGTAGTTTATAACAAACCTTGGAAACATAGAACATCTCATGTAAATTGTAGTTAAAGATCTGGTCATGGCCATTAGTATGTGTGAGCTGTTTGTTGTGAAATGTATTATTTCCGTTAATTCGGTAATTGCAGAAACAGCTCCAGTTTGTTGTTGACACTTGTTGGGTTACATCAGTGATGGTAAAACAGTGGAAATAGCAGTGGTTTGGAATGACAGCAGTGGCAATTACCTGCAATGCTTTTAAAAATAATTTTGGCCCTAGACGTTGAAAAGATGTGTCATCACTGATTTGTGTGAGGGCAGCTTCAGCAGGGTTGAATTACAAGGCTTTGGAGAATAAATTCTTTTCTGCTGCCTCAAAATGCATCTTTTGAGCTATGTTGCCAGTAGATAACATGGAAAAAATTTTCTTCTCATGCTAGAACCTTGTTGTGTATATAAGTTGAGGACTTCAGTGAGAAGCTGTGGTAGTTGGTTTCCCCAGCACAAGACTGTTGGTTTTTTTTCAAATCATTCCCATCAGCTTTGAAAGGAGAATTTCTTTTAGTGAAATGTCCCTAGGGAAAGTTGAAAAGTGCTGAAGTTATGTGGCATTGGCTTTGTGAGTGCCTGCAGCCTCAGACCAGGTGTGCTGGAAGTGCGGAGAGCCTAAGCCTGGTTTCCAAAGGACTTGAGGCTTCCGTACCGTTTCCCTGCCAACCCTTGTGATGTCTGTGGCATTGTATGCTTTGCGTGGAAGTCCCTGAAACTCAGCAGTTCTTGAGGATTTTCAAGAGCTTTAGTTCATGCCAATGA